GACAATCACTAGAAAATTTCTACTTTCGCACCTATAGTAATTTATATATAGAACCACGTCACGTTTCACTATGATCATTCTTCAGTTGACTAGAGAATCATCAATTAAACGACTTATAATAAATACTGTAACGTAGTTATTTTTTGTTCTATTAAACTAAACTTTGCCGGATCAAGAACAATTTACAAGAGAAAAGCAGAAACAGAAAAAAATGAACAAAAAAAAAGGCATATATATCTTATTTTTCGGTTATGTCTCTTGCGACTGCTGTTCCCTTGGGTGTCACAGCAGGTGCTTCCTTGGGTGTTATGTCTTCTGTTTTCTTGAACACAGCGTCTTTTACTTCTTTGGGTACCACCTCGTCTGCTCCTTTGAGCTCCATGTCATCTGTTCCCTTGGGTAATACGCCTTCTGCTTCCTTGGGCACCATATTTTCTGCTCCTGCAGATGTTCCCTCAGATGTAATAGTTGATGCACCTTTAGCTGCTTCAATTTTGTTATCACTCACACCGGATGAAAGGCGTAATTATCTTTTTAATGTAAACGGTCTTTTAGAAATTCAAATTGAAGATTTTAATAAAAACTGGTGGCCGTTGGTCTCAAATTTTTAGACACAATGGGGTTCATACAAACATGTAAATGGTGATGTTCGAAAGGTTTTTGCGTGCCGCTTAACAAAACACCGTGAATCAAGCACTAAACAAAAGGAAAATATCCCTAATGAAAAATGCCGAATAACAAAAAAACAGCCCTCCGGCCTATGTCTTGCAAAGATTGAAATTTCTTGGCTAGTTGTTCCAAAGGTGGTTCAAATAAAACGGTATAGAGACTCTCCAAACCACACACATACATTGTTGAAAGGCGATAGGATAAAATGATCAAATGCTGTTAGAAGTTTGGTTGAAAAGGAGGCAGTAAAAAATTATTCTCCACCTGCAATAACGGCTGCTATCAAAGAATATGCAATGATCAAGTTGGGCCTTGGTGAGAGTGTGCGTGAGCTGAAACGTAAAGAAGTAACAAACATTAAATATAAAGTTTGTGGACCTATAGAAGCTCATCTCATTGGACATTCCAATTTACAAGTGAATATCTCAGAAGCCATATCTTTTTTAATAGAAAAAGGTTACATTGTGGAGGCTTATAGTGTTTTTCACCGATCTACTAAGGGTATAGTGTTTGTACATAAGGTGCAACTCGAGAAACTTGCAAAACATGAGTGGCTAACGCTTATAGATTCGATACACAAAACCAATCAGTATGATTGGCGCTTGTTCACCCTTTATATCCGTGATACTTACGGCTGTTGGAATGTAGGTGCTCACTTTTTTGTGAGTAGCGAAGATGGTGATACAGTTGCTGAGGCATTGTTGATAATCCGTAAAAAGTACTGTCGCTGGCTCCCAAAATATATACTCTCCGATCAGAGTAGTATCGAGGCTAAGAGTATTAAAAAAGCCTTTCCCGGTATAAGTGCTGGTAAACAAGAATGTCAAATTATCTTTTGTGTCGTTCATGTTATGAGAACGTGGATGCAAAAAATATATGATAAAGAAATCCGGAACACTATGATCGTAGCGATGCACAAACGAACAAAGGTTGGTTGTGAAAGCCTTGTTCAGGATGCTATTAGACACTGCTCTGTTCCCACTATACAAAATTATATTAAAAGAAACTATGTGAAAAATACACAAAAATGGGGTTTGTGGGCTCGCCAACATTCTCTTTTGCTTTTGCAAGTTACGTCTATGAATCCATTGGAATCGTTTCATAGTGAATTAAAAAAAGCAACGTCTTCATTACATAGTTTATTTGGTATGTATTCTTTTTTATTATTGTATAGTCTTTTTTACACACATATATAATATGTCTAATTTATATTTATCTTAGGTGCTGTTCATGGTATCGTTGACATTGATCATAAGAAAAAGAGTGAGTCTGAGAGTGCCACCTTTGATTTTCGCATTAAAAAAATATCCGTGCATGGCGTTGAAAATAATATTATTGAGCAAATTCACAAATTTCCTCTTCCATTTCAACACCTTCTTGTTAAAGAGGCTTGTGCTGTAATGAATAGACTTGAGAAAGGGAAAGGTACCCCAGGTTTGACTTCTATTAATTGCCATTGCTTATTTCACAATCGATATATATTGCCATGTAAGCACATTTTTCATGAAAATATGTATGATAATAAGTTACTGACTAATGAGGTATGGAGAGCATTTCAGGAAATATTTGAAGAAAGTGGATTCGAGGTGTATGAAAGTCAGAAGTTAGTTACAAAATATGTGCAAACGGAAGAACAAAGAAGAGCTGAAAATCGGAGGATTGCTGTGGTTGAATTAACTGAAAGGGTGCGCGATAGATACTGGAGTGTTGAAGAGACAGGTGATGCTGAAAGGGTGGAGGCTTATATTTCTATATTGGAAACCTCTTTAAATCCGATTATATTGCAATTTAATCAATTAAATGTAAATAATTAAAAATTAAAGTTAAATAAATATCATTTTTCTCGATATTTGTAAAATATAATTGTATTCTTTGATTATTTTTTATTGTATTGTTATTTTTTATTTTATTTGGTGAGTATAGACGTTTTATTGACTGATGTTTAGACAAGTTATTAACATTATAATATCTATATTTCACATATAGATTCACTTTGTTATTATATTTTTGTATAAATTTGCCACTGACTTCTGCCATTTATTTAGATTCATTTTATTGCGGTAATTTATTTAATAGGTATAAGGATCTTTTATTAATCTGTGTATTTGAACAAGTTATAAATTATAATACTTACCTCTTCTTTACGTTCGCACTATTTTACTTATTAGATTTACCAATTTATTTATTGATGCACTTAAATTCGCATTGAATTTTATTATCACGTTAATTTCTTTTCATTAATTCAGTTCTTTTATTTATTGGGTGCATTTAAATTGTTATTCAATTTTATAATACTACAAACATTATATTTTTTATTTAGGTTCACTTTATTTGTAATAATTTTAATATAGGTACAACGATCTTTTATTAATTGGTGTATTTAGATAAGCCATCTGCTCACTTTGTTTCATGTAATTTTTAAATCTGAATTTCGATAATCTATCCGTTAGTTTCTCTCATTAAATACGATGATTTAAAAATGGAAGAGATAAAAATTTGGAATCATATTATCAAATAGGGAATTGCACAACATCCATGCTTATTATCAAATGGACCTGAAAACTGGACTAGCAAAACTTTCTGGTCTTAAAAAATATATTTGTAGGAACGCTGATTTAAATCTTCATTTAAATGCACGTAGACTAGGAAAAAAAGCATTAAATGCACTTTGCAAGAACACCACGCTGACTTCTCTGAATTTTCATATTAATAGGCTTGGATTAAGAGGAAAAACGTTAGCAGATGCACTTTGCAAGAACACTGCCCTGACTTCTTTGAATTTTGGATGAAATAGTCTTATATCAGAGAGATGATGGATTAGGAGGAAAAAAAGCATTAGCAGATGCACATGGCAAGAACACCATGCTGATTTCTTTGATTCTTAGTTAGATTAATTTTGGATTACAGTGAGAAGAAGCATTATCAGATGCACTTTGCAATATCACACGCTGGCTTTTTAGAATCTTTAGTTTAATAATGAAACAGAAGGGGTAAAGCATTAGCTGACACATTTTCGCAAGAACACCATGCTTATTCTTTGATTTGTAGTTGGAATAATTTTAGATTAGAAGGAAAAAGAAGCCTTATCAGATGCACTTTAGAATAAAACCACGCTAGTTTTTTGAATCTTTATTTTAATAATTTTGGAAAAAGCATTAGCAGGTGCATTTTGCAAGATCATGCTTATTCTTTGATTTGTAGTCGAAATAATCTTGGATGAGAAGAAAAAGCATTAGAAGGTACATTATATAATAATACCACACTGACTTTTTGAATTTTTATTGAAATGGGAAGAGAAAAGCATTATAATTTTAAACACGCATTATACTACTACTTATCTTGTTTTCTGTAAAATATTTTAATAGATGCACCTTACAAGAACATCACGCTGACATCTTTGATTTTTAGTGAGAATAATATTGGATTACATTAGAAGGTGCGTTTTGCAATAACATCACGCTGGCTTTGTTGAATCTTTATTTTAAAAATCTTAAAACGGGAAGAGGGAAAACATTATAATTTAAATGCTTATAGGACTAATACTGCCTTGTTTTCTGTGAAAGATTCTAGCAAATGCATTTCACAAGAACACCATACTGGCTTCTCTAATTCTTGGAATAATCTTAGATTAAAGAGTGAAGCATTATCAAATGCACTTTGCAATAACATCTGCTGACTTTTTAGAATTTTAATTTTAATAATGAAACGGCATTTTAGCAAGAACACCACACGATTATTCTTTGATTTGTAGTTGGAATAATCTTAGATTAGAAGGAGAAGCATTATTAGATGTACTTTGGAATAAAACCACTCGAGCTTGTTTGAATCTTTATTTTAATAATCTTGGAACAGGGGGAGGAAAAAGCATTAGCAGGCGCATTTTGCAAGAACATCATACTTATTCTTGGTTTATAATTGAAATAATCTTGGATTAGAGGGAAAAGCATTAGAAGGTGCATTTTACAATAACACCATGCTGGTTTTTTTAAAATGGAAAGAAGAAAAGCATTATAATTTTAAACACATTAGACTAATACTGATTTTGCTTTTTGTGAAAGATTCTAGCAGATACACTTTACAAGAACATCATGCTGACTTATTTGATTTTTAGTGTGAATAATCTTGGATTACATTAGAAAGTGCGTTTTGTAATAACACCACGCTGGCTTTGTTGAATCTTTATTTTAAAAATCTTGAAACAGAAATAGGAAAGCATTATAATTTAAATACTCAGAGAACTAATACTGACCTTGCATTCTGTGAAAGATTCTAGTAAATGCATTTTACAAGAACGCCACACTGATTTCTTTTATTCTTAGTTGGAATAATCTTGGATTAGAGGGAGAAGCAATATAACACCACGTTGACTTTTTAGAATCTTTATTTTAATAATGAAACAAAAGAGAAAAAGCATTAGCAGACGCATTTTTGTAAGAACACTACTCTTATTATTTGATTTGCAGTTGTAATAATCTTAGAGAAGTATTATCAGATGTACTTGTAATTACACTAACTTTTTGGATTTTTATTTTAATAATTTTAGAACAGGAGAGAAAAAAGCATTAACAGACGTATTTTGCAAGAACACCACGTTTATTCTTTGATTTGTAGTTAGAATAATCTTAGATAGAGAAGCATTATTAGATACATTTTGCAATAATATTACGTTAGCTTTTTTGAATCTTCATTTTAATAATCTTGCAGATACATTTTACAAGAACATCGTGCAGATTTATTTGACTCTTCAAAATAATGGATTATTTACTTAGTTGGTGGGTATAAAGATCTTTTATTCATAGTCATGTTATAATCGCACAATGAAATTTATACTTTTTATTTTTTTTTTAATTTTGTGTTTTTTTTTTTTTTATTTATTTTTTTTATATTTATTTTTTATTTATTTATTTTATCCTCAAAGTATTGAAAATTTCAAAAATAAAATTAAGAAAGCAAATAAGTTATAGAAATAATTAGCAACGAATCTAGTTATGTCTTCGTCTGAAAAATCCCAAGAGAATAATTTTTATTATATCATATTTGTTTGTTTGTTTAAATAAATAAATTTTATTTTGTATTGAATTTGTTTTTTTCTATCGGGAATTGATATTTGTACTCTAAATTTGATAACTTTGAGCGAAAGTATCTTAAAAACCACTAGATCAAGATACTTTCATTCAAAGTTTCTATTTTGTTATATGAAATTTTGGCCAATCATTATGTTTATTTTTTGACCAATCATAGTGATCGTCATGTGATTTATCTCCGCTTTAGACGATCTCTATATTAGGCAACACCAACATCCTTGCATCCAACTTGTGGGGTACTTGCTTGGAAGGATGATCAATAGATCGTGCGCATTAGTCTTAATTTAAAAATGGTGCTAGGTACTTGCTTGGAAGAGTGATACAATACTACCAAAACTGGAATGGTAAGAGAAGCGGCGAACATGTGAAAGGGCTGTGGTAAAGGATTGGCCTTACCTAAACAAGAAGCACAACTGGCACTGTGGAACAACTAGCTAAAGAAGATAATTTCATAGAGGCAGGCGAGCTAATCTTGTACATATAAAGGAACCAAGTCAGAGCTCTGGTCATATCTATATGGAAGTCATTGACGAAAGAAGCCAGAATACACCAACAATAATGCAACACCAACCAATGATGAAGAGTCAAGTTGGAAGTCAAGGTGAATTGGGGTATGCCTCCTAGTAACATAACGCAAGGCCTACGATTGGAAGTAGAATTGCTTGCCACTTAAGAAATTTCGTGGTGTTAGGCTGGTCTTTAACAAGATAGGTCATTAAAGCAACTACGCAATAGGGTTCTGGTAATACACCATATGAGGAAGTACAAATGGATTAGTTAGTATCACTATATCAGAAAAAGAACGTTAAGTCCTGGGGTAGTAAACCAACAGTGGCAGCAGGGCTTGGCTTGAGATATGGGTTAGTAGTACCTGGGCAGATAAGTGGGAGATTAGGCATTCATAGAGAGAAATGGTGCATGAAGGGATGCAAACCGGTTGAGGCGGTGCAAACCCAAGATAAGTTTTTAATTCAACAATAGAATACCAACTCTGTCATGTGGTGAACCTAACTAGGCAGCAAGTTCCTGGCTTGAGATATGAGGCTGTTAGACCACCTACACCAATTATGATTGCACGAATAAAATACCTTAGAGGGAAATTGCAGTGGATCGTGTTTGCAGGTATACCAACTTGGGAGCTCATAAGGAGCAGATACCCGACGTACCAAATTGGAAGTTATGACTGGTCAGGTGAGACGTGGAGGGAATGTGATATTACTAGAAATAGTTAGTTGAGAAGTGTTAATCTAGGTGAGACATATGTGGGGCATGAACCACTTTAGTAGGTTTAGGTCGTAGATAAATTAGTCTAAGTCTCTGTAGTGCTATGTTAGCATATATGTAAGGATATATCTAAGTATATATTAATAAAAACCAGAGGCATGACCTCACCTTAAATATTAAAAAAAAAAAAAAAAATTTATTAGTTCGTTTAATGTAAATAGAACCTGGACCAAGTTACCCGAACACAAATAGTGCTTCAGGACAGCCCAGAATGATGTAACAATAACATTAAGGATAAACAAAGCCAAACAAACCCAAAATAGCAAAAGTGCTCTTGCTATATTAAAAGGTGCCCATCCTATATTAAAAGGTGCTCATCCTATATTAAAAGGTACCCATCTTATATTAAAGGTGCTCTTGCCATAGTAAAAGGTGCCCAATCTCTAATTTTAATCGTTCTAAGGTACCCATTCACTATCTAGAAGTGCTCATCCACTATCTAAAGGTGCTCATGCTATAGTAGAAAGTGTTCTATTAATAAAAGGTGCTTTTCTTTAATTAATTACTATGTTCTATAGTAAATTAATATACCAGAAAAAGATATATAAACTTCCCTAAGGCAAGAGGACAATTGGTCCTCATATTTTGGTCACTATAATCTTGTTATAATATACTTTGGTTTTGGGAATAAGTCCCATTTTTATTTTTGATATGATTTTGTATTAGAAA